AGCTTAGCAAAGCACATGGACCGCAGTTCAATCCCCCAGCACCACATGCCAGCCAGCCCCACCCCCAGGCGGGCTGAGCTGGCCACACACACACACACACACACACACACACAAATAAAATAAATTAAAAAAAAAAAAAAGATTACTTATCAAATTGTCAGAGGTCCAGACATTTGTTACTAGTTGACAGGAGCATAAGGAAGTAGTGTTTGGGGCCTGGGGAGATAGCTCAGTAGAATAAGTGCTTGCCTGGCAAACGCAGGGTCCTGAGTTCAATTCCTGGTACCACAAAAAAAAAAGAAGCAGTGTTTAGCTACTCTGCACTTACCTATGAATTAACATAACCCATAGAAAGGTAATGTGAAATGCCTATAAAAATAAAATTATATGTACATAGCCTTTCACCCAGAATTTGTACTTGTGAAAATTTAAGCTGCAGATGTATTCATCCACGTACAAGTTGTGTGTACGTTGAATTATTTATTTCAGCAATGTTTAACTTCAGTAAAAGAGCAGAAATTTGGAAATTACCTAAATATCCTCAGGAGGGAGGTATTTATTGAATAAATACAACAGTAATGCCTAAAATATATTTTGTGACAAAATTTATATTGAAATCAGGTAAATGATGTGCTACCATTTGTGAGAATCTTTACTGCAGTAAAATATACATAACAGGGGACTGGAGAGATAGCTCAGTAGAATAAGTGCCTGCCTGGCAAGCACAGGGTCCTGAGTTCAATCCCTGGTACCAGAAAAAAAAAAAAAAAAAAAAAAATACATTACATAAAATTAGTTATTTTTAAGCGTACAATTCACTGGCTTTAAGTCTGTTGACAACATTGTGCAACCATTACCACTGACTATTCTAGCACTTTTGTATCATTCCAAGTGGAAACTCTGTTAAACAGTACCTCTCTTGGGTGCCAGGGATTCAGCACAGCACCTGCCTGGCAAGGTTAAGGTCCTGAGTTCAATTCCTGGTGCTCCCCCCAAATAGCCTACCTACTTCCCACTTCCTCTTCCCCCTTATTCTACTGTGTGTCTGGATGAATTTTGCCTATTCTAAGTACTATATATAAATGGAATCATTTGGTGATTTTGCTTTTATGTCTGGTCTATTTTACTTAGCATACCGTTTTCAGGTTTCGTCAGTGTTGTAACATATTTCAGAATTGTATTCCCAGGCCGGCAAGATAGCTCAACAGACTATCTGCTTAGGTAAGCAGGAGTGGGATTCGATCCCTGGCACCACATGCCAAGCCGGCCCTGCCCTCAGGCACGCCTAGCCAGCTACCAAGATCTAGCATGGTGGCACACACCTGTAATCTCAGTGCTGAGGAGGCTGAAAACAGGAGGATCACTATGAATCAGAGCTGTGTAGTGAGACTCTGCACCAAATACATTTTTAAAAAAAGAATTTTATTCCTTACACCTGAGTAATATTCTATAGTATGCATATACCACATTTTCTCTACTGATTCATCTGTGGATAGCCATTTGGATAGTTAATACATTTTAACTATGAGTAATGCTATTAGGATTATTGGTATATAGGTGCATTTGAACCTTTGCTTTCAGTTCTTTTGGATTTATACCTAGAAGTAGGATTGCTGAGTCACACAGTAACTTTATGTTTCATTTGTACAGGGTGTGGTACTGGGGATTGAATCGCTGACCTCTCACTGAGTTACAATCCAAGCCCTTTTTAATTTTTGGGTTTTTTTTTTTGTTGTTGTTGTTGTTGTTTTAATTTTATTTGTGGGGGGGGCAGCTCAGCCCACCAGGGGGCAGGGCTGGCTGGCATGTGGTGCTGGGGGATTGAACCGCGGTCCCTGTGCTTTGCTAAGCTTGTTCTAAGTAGGTGCTTTAGACCACTGAGCCATCTCATCAGCACCCTTTTTAATTTTGATAAAGTCTAGTAGAGCTTTCTTTTCTTGTGTGGTTTTGGGTGCTCTATTAGTGTCAGTGTCTAAGAAACCATTACTTAACTAAGATCACAAAGATACACACCTGGCTTTTCTTCTACTAGTTGTCACATTTAGGTATTTGATCCATTCTTGGCTTTTTTTCTTTTTTCTTTTTTTTTTATATGGTGTGAGGAAAAAAATCCAACTTCATTCTTTTGTATGTGAAAAGTTCTACCATCTGTTGAAGAAATTATTCTTGGGCCGGGGAGATGACTCAATAGAATAAGTGCAAGGGTCTGAGTTCAATCTCTGGTTCCAACAAAAAAAAAAAAGAAAAGAAATTGTTCTTCATTGAACTATGTTGGCACCCTTGTTAAAAAATGTGGAACTGGTTGCGATAGTGAACATCTATAATCCCAGCACAGTGAGAGGTTGAGGTAGGACTATTCCAAGTTTGAGACTACCTTCAAGAGCTTAATGACACCCTGTCTCAAAATTTAAAAAGCAACAAAGAGAAAACCAGTTTCAGAGGGACTGAGGAGGTAGCTCTGTGATAAGAGTACATGCCTAGTGAACATAGGCCCTGGATTCAGTCTCTGGCACTGAAAATATATCAATTCCTTCCCCCTCAAGAAGGCCCATTTGTATGAGTCTATACCTAAACTTTTAATTCTGTTATATATTGATCTGCAAAATCTATCCTTATACCAATATGTATCTTTATTTTATAATCATATGAATGTGTTAATTAAAAACTATGACTACAATTTATTCCTTTCATTTCTCTCCAACTTGCATTTTCAGGAAAGTGTGCTGTGTTGTCATTCAAGGATTTCCTGTCCTGCAGGCCAACTGAAATACCAGAAAATGACATTATGCTTTGTGAGAGCCGCTACAATGAGAGTGACAAGCAGATGAAGAAATTCAAGGGACTGAAGAGGTTTTCACTCTCTGCTAAAGTGGTAGATGATGAAATTTACTACTTCAGGTAAAGCTTGGAAACCTAAGAGCAGTTAAGCTAACAGCAAACTAGCATAGCCCAGTGTTTTGAATTCTTTTATGAGATCCTAAACTAGAGAATTTTACATTTCAAAAAAAATAATAATTCAGCTAAAGATAAAAGAAAATCTCCATAATCTGCTAGGATTGGGGGCTGCTCTAATAGTGCTCGTGGTTCAGAACAGTGATAATGAACATTTTAGAGCTTTCAGTGATAGAAACAGCCTGCTTGGCATGCATGCCATAGGTTCCTGACCCACTGGCTTAGACTCTGATAATGCTGGGTTCTTGTTCATATCCTGTCAAGAGATTGCTCAATTCCACAGATGATGAAAACACCTTTTGTCTTATACAAGCAAATAGGATCTGGTTTTGGATCCAACACTCCTGTTCATATTCAGCAGAATTCTTTAAAAACAAGCTTCTCAGGGCCAGGAGCCAGGGGTTTGATCCCCTGGCCTGCCGGTCCAGCCCTGCCCCCAGGGCGTGCTGAGACAGCAATTGAGACTGGGCGTGTTGGTGCATGACTGTAATCCCAGCTCTTGTGAGACTGAACAGGAGGATCTCTATGAGTCCAATCTAGTAGTGAGACTCTGAACACCCTGTCAACCCTTCCCTAAAATACAAAAAATAAATAAATAAAAACAAGCTTATGTAAATATAAATAGATTTTTTAAATTTTTTTAATTAGTATAATACAAAATGATTATACATTCCTCGTAGGGAGTTAGATATATAATAACACATCTTAATTCTCTTTTCATGCTGTTCCTCTGCTCTCCCTCCCTCTTCCATCTATCTCTTGTTTCACTTCTCTTTTGCAGATCTCCTTACTGCCTATTATCTTTTATTTTATTCTTCATTTGTATTTTCCTTCTTATAAGAAAAACCATGCAATGTTTAATTTTGTCTCTCTGATTTATTTCACTTAATATTATGGTCTAAAGGTACATCCATTTTCCTGCAAATGACTCAAGTTAATTTCTCTTTGTGGCAGAGTAGTGCATCATTGTATACAAGTATTACGCTTGCTGTATCCATTCATCTGTTAATGGTCATATAGGCTGCTTCCAAGATTTAGCTAGTATGAATTGTGCTGTTACAAATACAGGTATCACTATTATATGTCTTCAGCTCTTTGGAGGAGATACCTAGAAGGAAACCAGCTTGATCAAATGAAATTTCTACTTCTAGGTTTGCAAGGAATCTCCACACTGACTTCCATAGTGGTTATACTCATTTACATTCTCCCCCACAGCCTTGTCAGCTTTTGTTATTATCTGATTTCTTTTTTTTGTTTGTTTCTAAAATACATTAACTTTTATTGAAAGATGTATCCTTACAAACTTGTGTAAATAACCTTGACTTTCAAAGGCAGTGGGCATTAAAAAAAAAAACAAAACCACAGTTCACCTCACCATGCTGCGGTATCATTTTGGCATCATAAAACATAGCTCAGCCCTAGTCTCCGGCCAGGACTGGATTCTCCTAATGTCTCTCACGGGCTTTCCGGTCCATGTCATCCTGCAAACAGAAACCCACTTCCAAGGGGATTCATTTTCTTCTATTACCATGGCTCAAGAACTGAGGGTTCAGGTTATGCTGAATTCGCAGATTCTCAGCCCAGAATTCTGTCCCTAAGCCTTTCCTTAAACACCACCAATTCTTTTTCACATCATCATTTTGGCCAATCTTTCCACATCCATTTCTCTCCTGATGAGTACATTAAACCTAGTCAAACAAATGTAAGTGGCACAAATACAGAGATGCGAGAGTTGTGATGGTGCCCACCACTCACCTACCCACAACTGACCACCCCAGGTGCTGGTGCCGGGCACTGGGCCATGGGCCTTCGCACCTACCCACAGCCCAGGCCTATTTTTTAAATTTTCAGGCAGTATCTCACAAGTCAAAGTTTCAAGGCTGAGCTTGAACTCATACACCTTCTGTTTCAAGCTCCCAGAGCGCCAGGATCCACTTACACACCCGGTAGAAGCGTGGGATGCTGCAAACGTGGCTCCCGGTCTCCTGGCATGCAGGTGCTCACAATTCCTTCCCGTACAGTCAGTGCTCCCTTTCCACCCAACATTTTTCCATTTTGGGGGCCTGCCATCCTTTAATACTCCCTGGCCTCTAGGGTTAGCACAGCAATGACACAAGAGCTTGACAGCAGGGAGATCCCATGGACAAACAGCAAACTGAATTGTCTACTTATAATCCATTTGGGTGAGGCCAGTCCAGCCTTAAAAAGATGAATCACTAATAAAAAATATTGGGGCTGGTGAGATGGCTCAGTAGTCTAAAGCACCTACTTAGAACAAGCTTAACAAAGCAAAGGGACCGCGGTTCAATCCCCCAGCACCACATGCCAGCCAGCCCTGCCCCCTGGTGGGCTGAGCTGGCCACACACACATACACACACACACACACACCACACAAAATAAATAAATAAATTTAAAAAAAAAATATTCACCTGCTTCTACTTATACAATCAATTTTAATGCAAACATTCAGTAGGGCATCGTTCCCATCGCTCCCAAGATTTCAGCTCTCTCTGTGGCTGTAGGCATAACGGGCTTTACTCCATTCTGTCTTCTTTCGACCATGATAGAATTCCAGAATCGCCGGCAGTTTTTGTACTTCAAGAAGTAGCTGGAGCACTGTTCCCTGTTGTAGTTGTTTTCATCCATACATCTGGTGGAAGCATCAGACTCTGACAAGCAAGGATTTGTGTCAGGATCTCTGAGTCGCTTGATCACCAGAGGCATCCTAAGTCTTCTTACTCGGGCGGACGCCGCGCTCGCGCCCAAGCAGCCTCTAGCTCCAAACACGTCAATAACTCACGCAGCAGGACCTTATCTGATTTCTTGATGATGGCCATTTTTTCTGGAGAATCTCAATGTTGTTTTAATTTGCATTTCCTTAGTGACCAAAGATGTTGAACATTTTTCATGTATTTATTAACCATTGGTAATTTTTCTGAAAAGTATCTCTTCATTTTAGTTGCTAATTTTTTGATTATGGTTTTGTGTGTGTGTGTGTGTGTGTTTAAGACAGGGTCTTGCTATGCAGTTCAGCCTGGCCTTGAGCTCACTTTGTAGCCCAGGCTGGTCTTAAACTCACAGCAATCCTCCTGCCTTTGCCTCCTGAATGCTAGGATTACAGGCCAGCACCACCACACCCAGCTTGGTTTTTTTTTTTTATTCTATTGGGTTACATTGTGTTGCATTTTGTTTGTATCTCACTCTGTAGCCCAGGCTGGATGTGAACTCAGTGATCTTAGTGTCTCAGCATCACAAGTGCCGAGATCATAGATGTGTACCATCACACACAGCAGGAACAGCAAATTTTTTGAGTTCTTTATATATATTGTGGGTATTAGCCTTCTGAAGAGTAAGTGACAGATTTTTTTTTTCCTGTTCCATTGTGTCTTCACTGTTTGTTTCCTTTGCTGTGCAAAAGCTTTTGAATTTGATATGTTTGATCACACTTTTTGATTCTTGTATTTCTTCTGCAATTTGGGTTCTATTCAGTAAGTCTCTGTCATCTAGGCCTGTGTCTTCAATAGTTTTAGCTATTGTATCTTCTAGCAGATTATTTCTGTTTTAATATTTACATCTTTGATTCATTTTGATTTTAGTTTAATACATGCCGAGAGATAGGGGTCTAGATTCAGTATTCTGCATATGAATAGTTCGACCAACACCATTTGCTAAACAGGCTATCTTTTCTTCAGTATATTATGTTGGCTCCTTTGTCATAGATGTACCTTGGGTTGTTTCTGTGTCCTTTATTATATTCCATTGGTCCACACGTTTGTTTTTGTGCCTGTCTCATGCGATACTTTTATCATTATAGTTTTGTAATATAACTTGAAGTCCAGGGTTGTGATGCTTTTCACTTTGCTCTTACTGCCCAGGATTGCTGTTGCAGTTACTGTCTCACTACTAGGATAAAATATCCAACGTCCACAAGTTAAAGGATGAGACCTTTATTGTGGTTCATAGTTTGTAGAGGTTTCAAACCATAGTCAGCTGGTTCCAAGGCAGGGCAGCATGACAGGGGCATGGCAGGTAGGATGCTAAGAGAGATCAAGGGAGAAGAAGCAATATAGATCCTTCTAGGCCATACCCACAGTGACCCACCTCTTCCCACCAGGTTTCACCTTCTGATACCACACCCAGCTATAAACCCATCAGTGGCGTAACCAAGTGTCATATACCCATAATACACATGATCAGACACATTCATGATCCCTTCACCTCTTGAAAGCTCCATGTAAAAAAAAAAAAAGAAAGCTCCATGTATGAGTCCATGAGCCTTTGGTGGAGACACCTAGATACAAACCATAATGTTCTACCCCTGGGCCCCAAAAGATTCATGTACATCCCTTTGTACAAAATATGTTTGATACATTTCTAAGAGTCACCAAAGTCCCAACAGTTTCAGCAAAGACTTCTCTGAAATTTAAGGCAAACTCTTAGCTTCAAGCACCTAGACAAATAAAAGTTAAATACTTCCAACATACAGTGGCACAGGGTAAATATTCCTATTCCAAAAGGAAGTAAAGGAACGGGACTGAAATAAAACCAAAATCCAGCAGCGCAAACATTAAATCTTAGCTGGATGTGGTGGTGCATGCCTGTAATCCCAGCACTTGGGAGGCTGAGGCAGGAGTATTGTTGAGAGTTTGAGACCAGTCTGGCTATACAGTGAGCTCAAGGCTAATTTGAACTGCATAGTGAGAACCCTGTCTCAAAAAGCTAAAAAAAAAAAAAAAAAAAATTAAATCTTACGTTTCTGTGTCCATCACCCAGCATAATATGTAGATTTCTGCTTGGATGGCTCTTCTGCAGCACAGTCAGTGCCCTCATGGCCTCTCTCCTGGGCTGGCATTGCTCACTCCTCATAGCTTTCCTTAGACAGTCCATATTCCTGGCTTTTCCAACATCTTGGGATCTGCATTTCACACTGGCTTCACACTCACAGCTTTGTGAATTGCCTGTTCAGGAACACAGTGCCTGGCCTCCCAAGCCTTTTACTGAAATCTGAATAGAAGCCTTTTTGAGACCACAACTCTTTTTTTTTTTTCTCTTGTATTTTGTGCAGGGTCTCACTATGCAGCTCAGACTTGTAGTGATCCTCCTGTTTTCAGGCCTCCCAGGGCTGGGATTACAGGTGTGCACCACCACGCACAGACTCAGTTGCCAGCTTAGCACACCCAGAGGCAAGACCAGCACAGCATGTGGTGCCAGGGATCAAACCCGTCTCTGTGCTTGCCTAAGCAAGTGCTTAGTCTGCTGAGCTATCTCACTGGCCTTTAAGCCTACAACTCTTTAATTCTGCCTGTACCTAAAGCCAGGATCATATAAATGACACTACTGTCTGCCACAAGCTGCAGTAGTAGCTGTCTTCTTTTGTATCTTGCTGGTAGTTGCAGAGGCCTTCGAGTTCCTGGATGGCTGAACAAGGTAAACTCAATTTGGAGAATATATTCCCAATTTGTAGGCTTCTGCTATTTTAGTGTCCTGGGGTCTTCTTCTCAAAGCAAAGTTTTTTACCATTGCAGTCTTGAGCCTGCAAAAGATAAGAGAATTGCCGGTTCTTGTGATGCCCTAATCATTTCAGACCAAGTTACTCTCTGCTCTGCCCTGCCCTGCCCTGCCCTGCCCTGCCCTGGTCTGGTCTGGTCTGCCTGCCTGCCTGCCTGCCTGCCTGCCTGCCTGCCTGTCTGTCTGTCTGTCTTTATTTTTTGAGGCAAGGTCCTGCTATGTAGCCCAAGCCGGCCTTGAACTCACAGCAATCCTTCTGCCTCAGGCTCCAAAGTGCTGGGATTACATGCATAGGCCACCACACACTGCTCTGCTCCAACCTTGTAGGCTGCAGTTTAATGGAGCTTCCTTTCTGTCTAGAGTCAAAACATTTTAAGTCATACTTCTGAACTCTTTGATATTTTTTTTTAATATTTATTTATTTATTGTGTGTGTGTGTGGCCAGCTCAGCCCACCAGGGGGCAGGGCTGGCTGGCATGTGGTGCTGGGGCATTGAACTGCGGTCCCTGTGCTTTGCTTAGCTTAGCTTGTTCTAAGTAGGTGCTTTAGACCACTGAGCCATCTCACCAGCCCCCCCCCATGAACTCTTTGATTTTGATTCTCCAAGTCCAGCTGTTTGAAGGCTCCAAACAAATGTATTAATTATTGTAACTGTTCTACTAATCTGTTTTGAAACTGTCTCATTGCTGCTTCTTTCTCAGTAAAATCAACATTAAAAATATGAAGGTTCCAAACAGTTTCCATGCCATCAACACATTAGACTGCCTTGAAATTTCTTCTGCCAGATTGATTCATCCATCACCCTTAATCTCATTCTCTTGTGGTCTCAAAACATGCAAAAATACAAATTTGTCATGGAACTATATTTCTCCACAAAAAAAAAATTTTTAATGGTAGCAACATTTGTTGTTATTGTTGTTTTATTTGGCATAGAGTCTTGCTATGCAGCTCAGACTTGTAGTGATTCACCTATCTCAGCCTCCCAAGCACTGGGATTACAGGTGTGTGCCACCAGTGCTGGGCCGATGCGGCACGTGGTACTGGGAATCAAACCCGGGACCTTGCGCTTGCCCAGCAAGTGCTTAGACCACTGAGCTATCTCCCCAGTTGCAATGTTTTATTAAGGATAGGAAAAGAAACAAGCTCTGCAGAGCATGGTCAGGCCAAATAAGAGTTGGAAAAGAAGTAACATCCTATAGCATGAGAGTAGATCACCATGAAAGAGACTACACAGTGACCTCTTCATCAAGTGTTTGTTTGTTTATTTTGATACCAGGTCTCACTACACAGTTCAGACTCATAGTGATCCTCCTGTCTCAGTCTCCGTACTGCTGGCATTATAGGTGTGCACTACCATTCTGGGTTCTGGGCCAGCATGGCATGCCCAGGGTTCCCTGGCCAGCATGACACGTGGCACCAGGGACCAAACCCAGGACCCTGCCCTTGCCAGGCAGGCACTTATGCCACCAAGCTATCTTCCCAGCCCCTCTTTATCGTTTTTAAAGATAATTTTACAGAATTTATCACTCTGGGAAGTTTTTTCTTTTTCTTTTTTTTCTTTTGTAGAACCGAGGGTTGAACTCAGGCCCTTGTGCTTGCTAGGCAAGTGCTTATTCTACTGAGCCATCTCCTCAGCCCCAGAAGCTTTTTTTTTTTTTTTTTTTTAAATAGGGATTGGAACACTTTGCTCTGAGTTCTCCTAACTTAAGGTTTTTGTGGAGAAGTCTACTTAATTCTAATGGATTTACCTTTATAGGTGATTCATTGCATTCTCTGCTTTTAAGATTCTGTCCTTATATTAATTAGACTTCTGGGATTTTGACTATGATATGTCCTAGAGAGTTTTTTTATGATTGTGGTTGTTTGGGATTCTGTATGCCTGTATTGTTTATGTGTTAATTCCTTCCCCATATTCAAAAAGTTTTTGCTATGATTTCTCTAAATAGAATTTTTGTGCTATTTGTTCTGTCTTCAGGTTTTTCTGATTCCTATAAATCTTAGTCTTGTTTTGTGTAGCAGCTATTGGATCCATTTTTTTATGTTCTCTTGTTGTCTTTAAGGTCTCTCAGAGTAAGGTGTCTCAGTAGTCACCAATATCAGCCCTGTCTTCTAGCGCTGATACTCTGCCATCTCATTGGTCACTTCTCAGGTGCTTGTTAGTCTGCTATCCCACTGGTCCTCATTGGTCACTTCTGCAGCCCATATTTTAGTAGAATTTTTAATCTTATGGATTTATTTGGTAACATTTTATGGACTGTAATTCTTTGTTAAATTGGTCATTCATGTTATTATCATTTTGT